GAAACATTCCATCGACCCCCTCTCTGTGCAACAGAAAACATCTTACCAAGAAAGAAGCAAAATTCGACACCCTGCTTACTATCAGACACCTTTGACCTTGCCATCAGATATCTCCCCTTTCCTCCTCTCCCATTGATCTATCACTGCCACTGTCTCTTCTGTCTTCAGTTTTTTGGGGAGCTGAGGCAGGGAGTTCCAGAGCCACTCCTGCCTCACTTCAACTGGACTGGGTGGGGAGCCAGGCTAAATGGCAGGGGTAACAGCAAGTATATTTCTTCTCCCTGCTCAGTTTCCCCAAGGTGTTCCCCACCGGCCTAGAAGCAGTTTCAGGGAAGAGGAACCCACCCACGCAGCTATCCCTAGCTGAGCCTGGCTCCCTACACAGCCCAGGTGGAGCAGGACAGGAACAGTTCTGGAGCTCGCCCTGCCCCCTGGGCAGATGGGACAGCAGCAGTAGCAGACAGCAATGGGGGAAATGAGAGGGAGGGAGGAGATGCCATTGAGCATTGAGGGGAGAGGGTGCCAAGAGCAAGGTGAGGAGAGGAAGAGGGAGTTTTTCCTGATTCAGGGATTTTTAAAAAGTACCCAGCTGCTGTTTTCATGGCATGGTCTGCCCATCTCAGTGGTGGGAGGAAAGCTGGGAGGAGGGTGCAGCCTCCTCTGCAGCATCAATCACTGCTCCCACACCCCGCTTTAGAAAATCCTGGATCTGTCCATAGTTTCAGAGGTTATGTTTAAAGTCCCAAATAAAATAAAAAAAGGTTGCTTTTTAAATTAAATGCAGTGTGCATGACCACGCTTGAACAATCATACTCTGGGAAAACAGTATGTTCATGTACTAAATGAAAGCAAATTCTTTTAAAAAAATTTCACAAACCACACCACAGAATTAATTTCAAGCTCCCATGGAAGTAATTCTCAGCAGTGTGAAAAGCATTTTAAAATTAATTATAAGTATTCTGACCGAGCCTTTTTAAAGTAGACCATAAGGAAAGCTGCCCTCCCCCTACAACCCCGAATACCAAGATGCATTGGAATATTATTGCTAAAAAGAGCAAAACTGATTTTTACTCCAGATATACCAGTAAGGTTAAATTGATCTTTGTTCACTGCACCATGTAAAACTATATGTACTATGTAGTTACAGAGAAACTAATAAAGAAGATGAAAATATAAGAAATCTGCAGGGGAAAAAATTATCAGAGAGAGAGATACAGATTACAGTGGAAAAATACACCTTCCCCACTTGCTTTTCAACAGCAAGCCACCACAAATATGTAGCTATTGAGTTCAATGGCGTTCTTCATTAATTCCATTATTGTCCTGTCAGAAACATAGGTGTATTTAGAAGAAATAAAAGACAACATTTCAGTGTGCACTACACACAGTCATCTTCTATAATTCAAGTCAAAAAAGGTCAGAAAGGCAAATTTGATTTTCTTCCTAGTACATTTCTTCCAACCATTTATGTCAAATGAATGGATACTGAAGATTTTTGCTGAATCCAGTTGAATGGGAAGAGCAAACTTCTTAGAGTTTGTTTTTGATTTCAGTTCATGTGTGCGCTTATTTTTTTTAAAGCTAAACTAAATAAGCCTCTTGGAGCAGATTTATTCAATGAATCATCAGTCCCCCTCAGGTAAAAAAATATACTTGGAATATATATATATTCCAAAAGAGAAGGCATAAAACTAAAATTAATATTATCAATAAACTGAAAAGTATAGATGTAGATCATGTATAATAACTATGTTATATATTATTCTGGTATGTGTATTTTATACACTCGCACACAACATAAACTACAATATAGTTTTTATATGAAACCCTGTTTATATAGTTGGTCATGTGATCTATTGCAAGTGTTCTGAAATTTGCATACCCACATTCAATATGCAGGTTCAAAAGGTTAAGGGCTTATTTGTGCCTAATCCCAGATTTGTGCCTTAAAAAATTAAATGCAAGACAACAAGAAGGGAGACAAATCTTTATGTCACTAGCCAGATCTTTGTGTCACTATAATGTCCTCCAGTTTTCATATGGAAAGCGCACATAGCCTGAAAGAGACAGTCATATGGGGGGTCACAGGGAGGTTGGCACTCACTGTGACCTGAGCAGAGACCAACAGTGGGGTGACCTGAATGTTATTTATTTATTTTAAATGGTGAGAGCCTGGAGAGACTCCAGAGTGGAGTCCCTTGTTGAGGATATTTTCTCTGAGCTGGTAAAACCCTTGCTAGTAACAGACAGCTGGAGCCATCTTATTAGCGAGATCAGTAACTGAAATCTCCAGAGGGGGTGCATTCAGCAGCAACTCCTAGCACAAAAAAGGGCAGTGGAGACCACAGTAGTGCTTAGAGTGGCACTGGCTGTTGAGACCTCAGTGGTGCTCCCCAAAACAGCGGAGAGGCAGCAGCCTGAGCAGTGGCAACTGTTAAGTGACCGTCCTAAAAGGCAGTGATCCCCAAAGCAATGGCAGCAACCCGTGAACAGTGAGCAGTGCGACCTCCACAGTGACAACCAATGACAAAGTTTCTCCTGGCCATCCAGAAGGAAACTCCTTCCTTCCCCTTCTCCCCTAACTGGGTATGGTAGCACCCTCCTAGGATGGGGATTTTTCAGTCAGAACTGCAACCAAAACTCCAGAAAGTTTAATATTTGAAGGTGTTTAATATTTAGGTATGTAATGCTTTAAAAAGTATTTATTATATTTATCGGAATCCAAGGTGACTTCACATTTGGGATGTGAAAGACTAAACAATTGATCTTTTAACTGCTAACTGTAGCGATAGCTGGTTAGCTTACTAGTTATCCTTTAACTTCGGGAGGGCAGAGACAGATAGGGAAGGGGGAAAGGGAAGCCACCCAGTGCCCAGTCAGAAATCAGAAGGAAACGGCAGGCAGGAGGAGGGGCGAGGGGAACTAGGACCCCTCACCTAACAGGAAAACAGGGAACAGCCTAATGACGACTCATCAATTAAGCAAATTCAGAGGTGCTCCCTCCCTCCCAGCACAGGACTTCACATGGGCCCTGTTGTCTGGATGGACTTGCATTCTCCCCCTAGTCAAAGGGCGCCAGGAGCAGCTCCCAGCAGCGGCTATGTCCGAACTGCTGTGTTATGGGTTAACTGTTTAATCAATATAATTAGAGGAGGTCAAACAAATATGTTTTTAAACGATATTTACATTCCTAACATCAATAATTAGATTCTAAACATGGAAAATTATACATTTGTTATAACTGTATAGAATGTGTAGAATCTTATTATTGGGGGTTGTCTTGAATTCAGAATAGTCTTGAATTTGGGTAAATACCATAATTTTCCAGGTCTAGAGTCTAATTACTACAGATTCGTCTTAAATTTGTCTGTCCCCCCTCCACTGCTACAGTGGGGAAAGCAGGCCCTGCCCCTCCCACTGATGCTTGCCCCCATGCCACCTGTCCTCCTCACAACTGCCAATTACTATATGCAGTGGCTCTGGCCCCTGTCCAGCCAGAAACTGGCAGCAGCAACAGGCCCAGCCCCAGTTTGGGGGTGGTGGCAACTGCACTGGCCACAGGCCCAGGGAGGGGCCAGAGACAAAGCCACAGCAACTTTCCTGCTGCTGTGCAGTGTCCCTTGCACTTTCCCCTGGCACCACGCCATCTCTTCCACACTTCCCCAGCTGCATACCCCCCTCAACATGTACCGCATAATCTCCCTGCCATACAGACAACCCTGGCCCCAGCAGAACACAGGCAGCGGCTCTGGCTCCAGTGTCACAGCATCTGCCTGCCCAAGACCAGTACTCAAATCCCAAATGAACACAGAGCAGATGCTGAAAGGGGGAACCTACATGGCACCACTTCTGGCTGAACCAGGCTCCCCATGCAGCTGCTCCTTGCAGTGCAAGGCAGGAACAGGTCAAAAGCAGTTCTGGGGCTCTCCTTGCACCCAGATCTGCTGGGGACACCACTGCTCTGTTAAAGCTCCCTGATGGAGCAGTCCCACACTCAATTCATGTTGAACGGAGAAAAAAATCCTTGTGTTCACAGCCTGTATGTTTGATGACCCTGGTATAGCTGATATGAGGCTTCATTAAAAAGCAATGCCAAACTAGGCATTAAAAAAAGTCACATCCCCCAAAATCACAATTGGCTTAAAAAAACATGAGATTTTTTTTCTTTTTTAAAAAATACATTTCAGAGCAGTTTTTTTTTTTTTTTTATTTGTCAGCTGGTTTTTGAGATTTCTGGATATACTAGTGATGCTTCAGAGTTCAGGATTTGGGGAATGATATCTTTTATTGGACCACTGCATAGTTAGGACAAAGTTAGACAAGTTTTCAAATGCAAGGCATTCTTCATCAGGTGCGAGGAGAGAAACAGGCACAGCAATGATTAGAGTTTGTATTCTCCCTCCCTTCCCGCCCCGCTTCCCCCATGAGAACTAGAAACACTTTTACAAAATATTTTACAAAAATAAAACAGCTCATATTCCCTTACTCTCAAATAGTTACAAGCCTTCTGGACCTAGAGCTTTAAAAAAAAAATTTAAAAGCCACTGAAGGTCAAAGGTGTCTGCAAAACTCTTCCTAAACATGCATAACACATCTTGCTCTCCCCAGGCACATCCAGACAAGCATGGCCATGCAGTATGCGGCACTGCAAAAACATGAGGGGAAAAAAACAGAGCAATGGACACACAGCCAGTGTGCGCTGCTGAAAAGTGGAGCTGGCCTGCCCAAAGTCGTGCTCCACTGCCAGCCAGGCTCTGTGCAGCAGAATCTCACCAGCTGCAGCCCCAGGAGGCCCCCAAGACCCCAGGTAAGGCTGCTGGGGCCAGCACCCCTACCCCATCCAGGGTAATTTGCTGCGTGCCAAAGCACTTGTGGTATGGGCATTCCTGGGGGACAAGGAGTGGCGGCACACTACTTGTCCCCAGGGAACCAAATGTCCACGCACGTCTGGATGCACCTCTCGAGTCTCAAACAAAAGGCACTGATACCTACTTTTTGAGTGGCTGTCCCTCACTGGCACAGTAATGTCAGTGCCTAATACCCAGATCCTGCATGCTACTCTGCAAGGGCAACCCCCCTCCACCAATGCAGAACCATACGGAAACCCACTCACTGGGGATGTCTTTCAGAACAAGGGAGACTATTGCTACAAGTGTTTAACAATCAAGATTTCCAGTACTGATGAAGAAGGATTTCACTGAGTAAGGTTCAGCATACAACTTAAGATCTCATTCACCTGAAGTCTAGGAAGGTCAGAGGAGAAAAAGAGTCTGAAGGAAAGAAGACTGAAGGGAATCATTTCCACCAGATCCTTATATCTAGCCCAAGCGATGTTTCAATTTTCCTACTCCGATTTCAGAGGTTTTCCTCACCACCTGACAAAGAGCTGAACATTGCAGCTGCGTTGCCTCATTGCCGAGGTCCCCTTGGAGAAAACAGTTATAATGGCACAGACCTTTTTGCCTGGCGGGCCAGATGGTGGTTTCAGTCCAAGCCCGGGCCCTGGCTCAGCATGACGGCCACTGCCCAGCCACGCGGGGGTGGGGGCAGCCCTGCCTGAGCCCAGCCCTGCAGGAGGGCACAGGGGTTTCACCCCTGCCAACTAAGTGAGAGGAAAGGGGCATGGCCTGGCCCTGTGGGGAAGAGGAGGGCCCGGCCCCACAGGAGGGAAGGGGTATGACCCAGACCCAACCCTGTCCTGCCAGAGGAAGGAGGCGCAGCCTCGCTTTAAGAGATGTGGGCTCGGTGCTTGGCCAGCTGGCAGGGGGGAGGACATCGTCTTTCCGGCCACCGCTCCCAGCTGGGGAGCCCCATGGGCAGATGCCACAGCACGGCCCGGCCCCAAGAAGGGGAAGGGGGCACAGCCCAGCTCTGCCCTGGCCCCAGAGCCCCACGCAATAGGGCTTAGTATTTGGGAGCTGGGCAGGGAAGAGGGCAGGCGTCTTTATGCGCGCAGCTCCCCCTGGCGAGCCCCACATGGGAGCTGCGACAGCACAGCCCTCACCTAAAAGCCACGTGCCGGCGGGCTGCCTTGAACTCCCGGCAGCCGCGGCTCGGTCCCCACAACCCGAGCAGGGCACCCGGGCAGTCGCTTGGGCGGGGCAGGAGGGAGCGGCACGAGAGGCAG